TTTCAGAGAAAGAAAAATTACATGTGCGCTTGATAATTTAGTATTGTATCTCAATTTGCATAAGAACTGACCATTATAATAAGCACACAGTGGCTACTAAAATATTGTTAACTAAAACAGTTCTGAAAAAAAAAGTTTACATCCCAAACATGCCCATTTTCATTGAATCATTTCCCCCATGCACTCTATTTGTATACTGTACCCTTAGTTCTCACTCCCTCACCACAACAAACAAGAGCCTGCTCAGGTTTGATTTTCTGTTTTTCTTTCCTCTACTCTGCTATTGTGATTGCCTAAAAAGGTTAATACACTGCTGCTGTTAAATATTATCATTTGGGTTGTAATTATCACATGTGACTAATCATGTGCATGCTGAGAAGCTGGGGGACTTGCTGGTTTTAACTGGAGGGGACGTCTTAATGATAGCTTTTGACAAGCACCATTGTATGTGGCTATGTACACATACACACACAGTGCAGAAGAAACACGCTGTCAATGAAGGCAGAGAGGGGATGGAGAAAAAGAAGTCGTCAACAGAATAGATGACTTCTTCAAAAGATGTCAACGCTTGTGTGCCTGTGAATCTCTTTATTTAATCTTATTTAATAGAGAAGAAAATTAAATTCAGAAAAGCTGAATCAAATGTCAAGGCCAAGCAATAACTGGGTGGCAGGCCTAGGCTAACAACAGAGGAGATGTGTTAAACCTCAAGTGAATTGCTTTTCCAGGAAACCAAATTCAAAAGACAATCAAATGTTTCTGACTGATAGTGATAATGTATGCAAAGGAATTTGTACAGCACATGGTGATTTCAGAGAGCTACTTGGTACCAGATCTTGTTCTCTCATCTGTCTTCCAGCTGTGAACCTGGACTCTCCTTTTCCACTGGAAAAGTTGTAGACCAGCCTATACCACCTTACCGGCAATTACAATAATCCTGACCAGTAAAAATATTGTATACACTTCCTTGTTTTGGGCTTAAGGGTGATGCTAGGAAAGGAAATGCTGGAATGTCAGAGCATGCCAAATTAGATAAGAAACTTCCAGGTGGCCAAAGAAGCTGTTTCAGCCCATATTCACACTGTGACAGCTATTCTTGCTTGTCAACTTGACTACATCTGGAATTAACTAAAATCCAAATGGCTGGGCACACCTGAGAGGGACCTGATTTTAGTCTGAATCTCTGAGGTGGGAAGCTGCACTTTTAATGCAGGCCATGCCTTCTGTAGGTGCCCGATATAAATGACATGGGAGAAGGAAGCTCTCACTTTGTGCCTGCTTGCTCTTGCTTGTGAGTCCATTCCTTAACTAGCATTAAAGCTTGCTTCTTCATTCAGGACTCTGGTATATACTGAGGACCACCTGAGACATCCGGTCTCATAGACTGAACAAATTCTGGATTCTTGGACCTTCCATTCATAGGCAGCCATTTTGGATTAGCTGAACCACAGCCTACAAGTCATTTTAATAAATCACATATGTATGGAGAGATTCATTCTATAAGTTCTGTTACTGTACAGAACCCTGACCACCAAGAACAAATTCTTCACATCTCGAGACCTTCTGGTTTCAGTTGTTTGGTGATAAATGAAGGAGAAGTAGACTGTGCTTGGCATGGGTTAATAATTGTTGTGGCTCAGGCCTCCACCATTGTTTTCTTGGCCTGATGAGTCCCCCTCACCAATGACTTTACCTTAGATGTGGGAGACATAACTAAAACTTGGCTGTCCATTTCCTCTCAGGCTCTTATAAAGGAAAAGGAATTCTAAATTGTCTATTTTGCTTAAGGAGAAAAAAATTAGGACACCACAGCAACCTTCTGGTTGGGTTAAACTGACAAGTTCAAAGTTCTTTTGTATTATAATACATCATAAGGGAAGACTCTCACATCTAAATCTCACCCTTTGCCTCTTTTCTGGCAAAATATAAAACCTTAACAATACTGCAAGGAAGAAAAGTTCTCAGTGTTCAGGCTCAGCCTTCTCTCTATATCCACCCAAGCACCACTGTTCCACAATCATGGCCACCTGCAAGGCAGGAATGATGTTCCCTTCTGTAAGAAGGGATGGAGACATCTGAACTGAGAGCCTCAAGCGCAGTATTTTGTGACCTTGCCTCATGTTTATTTCGTAGGCCCACCTCTCCTCCTAGTTAGGCAGGCCCTTGGATAGCTACCAACACAGGCAATGAATCACTGGCTACCCTTTCTCTGCTGTGGGCAGCAGTGTACCCAGCATCCTTCCTGCCCTGTCCTTACAGGTAATTTATCGACTGATTCTTATCCTCTTCCCTTCTCCACTTCTTCTAGCTCTGCTCAGTTACCTCATAAATACCAAGTATACAACCTAAATTTGCCTGATAGATTTCACAGTAGTTAGTGTTCATGCCATAAAGCAGAGATAACACTGCCAGCCGCTCAAGTCCTGGAAAGTCCCAGGAGGTCCCTTGCAGGAGCTCTGCAAAGGAATTTTTCTTACTTTCTCATCTCCTCCTAATTGGCTTTTCCTTAACAACCAGCATTTTAAATAGACAAAAAACCCTTTTGTTTCCATTGTGTGGTTTCAGTTTTAATTAAGAGTCTTACAACAACATTGCTTTCTAATGCTTTGGTTTCAGAGATGAAGTATGCCAGTCACAGTTAAAGGTAAACTGTGACACTATGTCTATAGAAAATCCTGTGCTCATGTACTCATCTACATGGATTTAAACTTCTGGAATTGAATCCATTTCCAAGTTAAGACCTCCCCTTTTGTTCTATTCATGTTTAATAATTATTGCAATAATTTCTACGTAGGGCACATTTTAAAAATAGAATTATATAAAGATATAAAGATATAATGGTTTAACCTTCAATATCATAGCTCTATGTGTATTATCCATACCTAAAATATATATTATTTACAGATGAAGAAACAAATTCAGAGTAGCTTAGTAACTCATAAAGAGTAAGTAAAAGAACCTGAAATTATAGTGTGGTTTGTTAGCTTCTATATGATTCTTTCTCAATCATCCTGCTGTACTCCTCCCCTGCATTGGCTATACCATCCAGTACACAGAGGAGAGTTTCCCAACTTGGACCTGAATGGGCAATGTGTATGATCCAGAAGCTTCATCACTTTTTGCAGCCCCATCATATTCCCCAAATATTGTTCAGATGTTACCAAAATTCAGCAACAGAGGAAAGGATATTGGCAGGGGGAAGGAGTCTTAAATCAGGATCTTAACAAGTACTAAGGCTATTATGGAAAGAAAAGCTGGATCTATCAAAGAGCCTCTAGCTGTACAATGAATAATCAGTGCCTATTGTACTTTCTAAATAGCTCTCACCTGCGAGAATAGTGGCATGTGATGTGGATTATGCATCTCCCGGTATACTCCATTACCCAGAGCTCTGGGGACCTTCTCTACTGGCATTACACAGTTTTGTCAATGCATATGTGTTGGGGAAGTATATTTATTTTTATATTTTCAGGTGCACTTGTATGTTCACATTACTGTGGATGGTCTTGAACAATCTTAGGTTTTATCCTCAGGGCCATCATTTACCTCTTTTTAGACAGGGTCTCTCATTGGCCTGGAACTTGCCAATGAAGCTATACTAGACTGTCTGGCCAACAAGTCCAAGGGATTCCCTTGTATCCTCCTTCCCAGTATAGAGGTTACAAATGTACCACCATTTCATGTGGGTTATGGACATTAAACTCAGGTGTTCATACTTGTGAAGCAAATGCTTAGCTAGCTGATCTAGCTCCTTAGTTCTCTTTAAAAGTTTGGCTAGCAAGATAGCCACTTTCAACAGACACTTGGTAGTCTACAGCACTGTGAAAGGGGAAATAACGAAAGTCTCAGATTCGGGTATAGGAGCTGACTCTTACCTAGTTCCTCATCTTGCTCTTCCGTGTAAAGCCAGGGCTCATGGACTGTCAGCTTCGTACTGATTTTGTCATTCTATTAATGAGATTCTACTTCCCCTGGAAAGCACATTCCTTCCTTTCTACTTTCCCACCTTCAAATTTACCTTCTTGTTTAGGAGAGGCTAGAAATAATTCTACAGCATGTTTCTGACTCCCTTGCAGCTAGCATTCCAAATACAAAATACTTTCCTCTAATTAGATGTATTTGCATGAAGTCCAAAAAAAGCAAAAGTTCATCTTCTAAAACTTCCTTGGCAGGTAACTAAAGTCATAAAAACGAGGCAATTTTGTAACATTATTTCATTGTTCATTATCTAACTTCTTAATTTGAAGGGCTATTGAGGCAACTGGTAGCAGCAGTTACTATTTAACTCTTTCTGAACTCTGAGCTCCATCCATGAGGAGGATGGGGCTGTCCTGAGCATTTCATCCTGACAGTGACCTCAGATGTAGTCATTTTCCTGATGAGACGGTTTTGCATTGTCCCGGATCTATTCCCATTACAATATAACCATTACTCACATTTCTATGTGCTTAGTGTATGTTCAGCACTATGCTAAGCTCTTCATATAAATTTATTTATTTAAATATCACATCACTCCTATCAGAAAGGTATTTGGTTAATATTTTTTTTCAGGTCAGTCAGGAAGTGTTCAAGAGTCTGATTGTGCAAGATCAGAGCAAACTGTAATAATAGAGCCAGAGTTCAATCCCAGCTCTCTCTGCCTCCCTCCAAAGTCAGAGTTCTGCCTCTGTACAGTTGAGGGCCTGTAAAATATTGGCAGATTTCAATTCCCATGTGTGTTACATTTCTGGAAGAAAAGCTTCAGTTTTTTTCCTCAAATAATATAGACACACAAATCATTCTAAATCATGTCAAGATATATTTAGATACCATAGAAGTCTTTCTTCTAATTAAATACAAGCCATGAAGAACATCAGAGGCACTGCTTCATGAAAACATGCCCAAGTCATACAGAGTCTATCTTTTACCATGGAAAAAAAAAAAGAAAGAAAAATTAAGATGACAAGGCATTTCACTTGCCTCTGGAGATACCAGAGCAAGAACATCAGACACATACTTACCAGGAGCTCGGTTAGCAGCGAGGTTGCGGAAATGGCTGCCTTTGACCATTTCCACAGATAATCGCCCTGTTGTGGCATTGTAAGACAGTCCCACCAACAGCTCTGGCACCCCTCCATGAGACAGCGACTGTGTGGATGAAGCACTGTCACTGTGAGACACCACAGATGGGCTGAGCGGAGACTCTCCACTCTGGAGGGGAAGAACACAAAGAATTCATTGGCCCATGCTGCGTCCCTCTCTTTGAAAGAAAGCTGAGATTATGTTTGCTGAAATTGTGACCCGGTCTCAATGACTGCCAAAGACTACTAATGGGCACTCATTGTGAATTACAATGTGCTGGGGAACGCGGCCATGTATGAGATAATACTAGCTGATGTATTTATTCCAAGAGCAATCTCCATTCAATATTTCCTCTCTAAAGACAAAATGGACAAAGATGTTATTGCTAGTGTAAATCAAACCTCCTAAGATACATGGAGTGTGAATAATACATTTAATATAGGCCAAGATTCCCTCCTGTGTAATTTGTTCCTGAATGTGTTGGTGGAACCTACCCACTCCAGGCTTGAGCTTTATCTCTGTTCTCTGCACTCTTGATGAATAAGGCATTACAAAAGATGTTTTGTCTCAAAGGTAAAGGAAATGACCTCTGGGTACTGGCCAATATAAAAAACACCTGGTATCTTGTTCTGCTGCTAAGGAAGTGTATTCCATATAAGAATTTTTATCTCCTATGGGGAAAAAAAGTTACATAGCAAGTGAGCACTTTTACTATTTCTCATTTGATAGAGGATCAGATACATTGACTGTGGATCTTGGTGACCTGGGCAGCTGCGGGTAAACCAGGGAGAAAGCCCAGACTTGTTCTCATGTCTATTCATGTGCACACTTCTGAGTGCCATTGTTATGTGCTGGGCATATCAAAAGGAGGACAAGATAGACAAAGACACTGATTCTCACTGAGGAGCATGAGTGAGCATCAGCCTGGCTAGAACAAACCAGCAGTCCCTCCAACATACCGCCTCCTCTAAGGGACACAAGTGCATGGGACTTGCTTTGAATCTTTCTTGTCTGTATCTAAAATTACTTTCTAAAACTTCTTGTCAGCATCCCAATAAACAAAAACAATAAAAGGGATGAAGGGTTGCACATGTCCGGGGGAATTCATCATCTTAACCAAACCATGTGTGTTTCTATAAGAGCCTCCAGGCTTTCATGGATCATGACTAATAAGCAGAATGGCTAGTGATCTCAACAGGGGCCTTACAGGCTTTGGTGGCCAGAAGTTAGAAATACAAATTAAACCTTTGAATTCTTGGGAGGAAGGCCCCACCATCTTTGAATTTCTATAGCAACCTCTACTGTGGTGCCTTTCATAGTACTGTTTAGCTACTCCTATCATGTTCATAAATCTGTGTCCATTACTCAGCCTCTCCTGCATAGATGCATATCTGGCATAAAATCATGCTCAACGGTAGGTGATAAATAAGTTATTTTCCTCCTTCAAAACGCCTGCACCCTGGCTCCTTCTCCCCATTAGCCTGTGCCCCCAGTGCAGAGCTCAGGGCCTGGCACTGGCAAATATGGGTGTGGCCAAACTCACGGCTGTGCTTCCCAGTGCAGGGTCTCTTTTTGACACGTCTCTGAATTCTGTTCTCTGTGACTTCATGATTTTAAGCGAAGAAAGGATTTGGGTAGACGTCAGGTACAATCTGGCTTGTGCTTTCTTGAGCTCATTCTAGCCCTAGTGTCAGAGAATAGCCTGGAGGCCACCAGCAGGGGACTAGTCCACTAGTCCACCAGAGAGGCAGGTTCTGCTTATATCTAAAGAGAGCGCACAGCTTTCAGCTGGAGAAGAGAGGTCACGGGTGAGCCCTACGGTTTTGGAGCTAGCAACCGGAACGATGAGCCTGCCAGCAGGCAGGTCTCAGAAGACAGCAGGTGGCATAGATTTAGAGAGGCAAAAATTAGGATTTCCAGTATAAAGATGTTCAGGCGGAATTAGAACTTCAGTTGGACGGACCTTCCTGGAACGGTTCTTTTTTTCCTCCACAATGCCTGTGTGTGCCCCTCCCTTCATCTTGAATATCCACCTCCACATGTCACCAGTCTTGTTCCCTCAATTGTTTGAGCTATGTGGGTTTTTTTCCTTTTTTTCCCCCCCTTTAGCATCTCAAAAACCCCTCTCCTGGTCATTCAAAGCAAGCCACAGCCTCTGGAGATTTGTTTAGCAAGGCCTGCCTGTCAACACCCTCCTCTACTAGACTATGGAATAATAGCTGTCTGCTTGCCTCTGTAGCTATTCGGTTTATGCAGCACATGCCAGGAAACGTCTCTGAATGAGTGACTGATTGGTTGACTAACCACAGCTGCTTGATCTTTCTATATAGTTTTGTAAAAGGAGCTCTTCCCATTACATGACAGATAAATAACGGCGGCGGTGGAACTGCCTACCTCTTAGACCTCCAAGCTATTGAAGCCCTAGGAGTGAGATACACGGTAGGAGACCAGCCATAAAAATAGAAGGTAGGATGCTTTTGAATACTTGCCTCAGTTCAGCAATAGACACCTGTAGTTCTGGCACTTGGGAAGACAAAGCAATGGAATCACGAGTAGGAGGACACCCTGGGTTACAGAATGTGTTTGAGGCCAGCCTGGGCTATGTAGTAAGACTCCTGTTTCAAGAAGGCAACAACAACAAAAGTGCCATGTCTGAGAATCATCATAATGCACTCTGGGGCTGGGAAGAGTAGTGGTGCTTATGCACTAAGTCAGAAGCCTCTCCAGGTCTTACCATGCCCTCTACCATGCTGCCACTGTCCTTTCCTAAAACAAATGGAAAATATATCCATCAACGCATCAGGGTAACGGGCTCGAAAGACCCACTGTCTATGAAGTGCAAATTGTGGCTTATTAGTGATGAGGAGAGCCAAATGGAAAATTAAATCAGCACCTATGAATTCACAAGCTGAATGTTGTAAATCACAGGCTGACAATCCCAGGTCTTTGAATACACCGCATCATTAGCAGCACCATTTAATATACTCACACATATATTACTTCTTGGCTCCAGAACCAGAGTCACTTTCCTCTCCCCTTCTGGGTGCAAGTGGCTGAGACAGAATAGCTTCTCCCCCATCATCCTCTCTCGGGTCATCTTGCGGGCAGCATACAGGCGGAATCGGACAGCACAGGCAGCCACATCTCTGGGCTCCAGCTTGGAGAAGGTGACCTTCTCCTTGAAGACAGGATTGGGCCCTCTCTGGATGTTTGTCCTACCCCTCTGTTTCTTGCTGGGCAATAGCACAACATGAACTTGCCAGGAGTTGACACCACTTCTGTCCTTATCTGGAAGCCCCTGTGCTCTCACAATGGTCACCGTGAGCTTCTGGGTTATAGCTCTATATTCAAAGAGGACATCTAGGTAGCCGCACTTTGAGATAGGATCCAACAGCCTGGGTGGCACCTGCCGATTGGTTCCATCGTGCTCCTGTAATAAATGGGGTGGGGGAGCTAATGAGGACTGGAAATGATGGTGACTTAGCACATTGGCAGGTTGCTGCCCCTTAGTGCCTCCCTGCCTCCCCAGCTTTCTGACTACCAACGCCTGACCTTCTTCTGTGTTAGGAAAGGTCTGAGTGCTAAGACTGTGACTTCTTGGAGGGCACAGTGTGCAGCATAGGATAAGTTCCTGAGAATGTTTTTTTAAATGAATAAATGAACCACTTACATTTTTCAAGTTTCGTTAATGTGCACTGCCTCACAAAAAAAAGTACAAGTGCCCCCTATGGTTTAAACCAACTGAGACACACAGTCTCTAATTAAGTCAACTATCAACTATGTAAATGCCAACAGGAACCTTTTGAGTCCCTGGGAGTAATTGCTAAACCTGGAACTGTTGTCTGCAAATCAGAACATTCCCATAGGCAAAAATCCCAATAGGGGACAGGGGAGGGTCTGGAGTAATTGATCTTTCAGTGTGTTTTCAAATTTCCTAAGAGAAAAGACAAAGCTAAGTTTCTGCCCTAGTGGCCAGCTGAGTCATCCAAGGATTCTCACTAAGTCAAGGGCTCGGGCCAGAAATGCCATTTCTGAGATGCTTGCTAGGGATGTTGGCCACAGCAAACCCAGGCTAAGGAGATCATTCAACGTGAAAGCTAAAGCAATCGCTCACAGAAGCCAGCCAGCAAAAAAGCACCATTGGAGCTAGAAAACCTGGGTTAACATGGTCACTCTACCACTGGTTAGTTTTGTTGGGCCCTGGCCAAACTGAAAGGCATACTGCTGGTATATGCCTACTTAAGAGAGTAAGGTTGTGAGGTTTTAGTAAGAATGAAAATCCCTTTTCAGACCAGACTCTGTATCTATTCCCTAAACTAGTATGGAGTTACCTCTTTCCAAACATGCCTCTCTCCTTATAGAAAGTCACCTTTGGTCATCAATTTACTTGTAGCTACTCAGATCTGATGCCCTTACTGGGAAAACTAAACACCACTTACTGTAATGATCACTATACCAACAAATTATTAATTATGTCAATATATTTTTAAATTTTCCCCTGAGGTCTTGAGTCTTACCTATAACTAAAAGGGTGTCATAGTGAACCCACTCTTAATGTAAAGCAGTTCTTTATCTATGCAATTGGACTCTAGATGTTGCTAATTCAGAGATTGCTTCAACAAATTACAATAAAATGCTTCAATGTGTGCATTTATCAATGAAACTTTCCCGCACAGTCATAGGGGAAGTACATGGTGCTGTAGAAGCCAGCTCTGCTATTTATAAGCTCTAAAAACACTGGACAAAAATCTAATACATTGCATTATTTTTTCTTCAATAGTAAAATAAGGATGATAGCCACTACACAGGGATGCTGTGCACTTGACATATCGGAGACATCTAATAAATTCCTTTCTCTTTTAAGATTCAAATTAGCCTGCCAAGAAGATTCAGCTTTCTTATAAAATAAGGGAAGCTTCTTCTAGCCTTCCCCTTGTGCATGCAATCATGCATGAGCATTTCTATTCAAGGGTACTTAGTTTCAAGTGATAGCAGTCGTTGCTATAGAGACTTCTGAACACAACTGACTAGTGTATATATAATATTAGAAGCAAGTCTCCAAGGAGTTAGGCGAACTGAAAAACCAAGGCAGAATCTTTTCTTAAGCTCCTGTCTCCCCTTAAAACTCCCATCTACTTTGGCCTACTCTTGATCATCTACATGGCTTGCCTAGATGTGAATAACATTACGTAGCATCTTTTAAGTTGTTCTTTATGTCAAGTACCATATCAAGTCTGTTATAGACTATAAAAAGCAGCTTTTGCATACTTCAGATCTCCCTTGGCCTCAAAACTTATTCCATTTTCCTCTATAGGCACAACCTGCCTGGGTTCTAAGAAGCTGCAGACATAACCCAGTAAGCTTACTTTCTGCTCATACAATATAATGCTCAGCTCTCATCATTATTGCATCAGTATTAAACTTAGAAAGAATTCTGCTTCCCACGTGTTTGGAGGAATTAGCATATGCCATCATTAATACCCCATGCAATAAACTTTCTCCTGCTGGCAAGATAACCTGAGAGCAGGTTATAATTTCTTGGACTTTGTCCCACATGATAAAGCAATTGGTCATACTGGGTGGTGGCCAACTCAATGGCACATTCTCATCCATAACCTTTCTTTTTCTTTCCCTCATTCCCTCATCCATTGAGAATGTGCTCAATAGCAAGGTAGGGAACAAAAACCTTCACCTTTGGCTCTCTGTCTTATTGGGGAACCCAAATAAGAAACACTGTGCTTTCTAATATGTATGTCTGCCTAATGGGCTAGTATTTAACATCTTTATTTCATAGGAAAGGAACTAAAGTTAAAATGAACTATAGAACTAATACCCTTTGAATACCAGAGTCACATGCCAGGCCAGGATCATTGAGGATTCTTACTCCCAGCAGCCTGAGAGCATACCTCACCTGGCATTAAATAGTCAAACTCCCAAACCTTGTGTTAAGCTACATGACCTACTTCTTTCAGTCAAACCTTTAACCATAGACACTTCTGTGAGTATTAGGCGTTCGAGATGAAGACAGAAGGTTGTAGAGATGGAAGTTGGGCAGCAGTACTGTAAATTCATTCCCTTGCAGGCCTCTCTGCTCTTCATATTAGATAGGAGTCACTAGCTTCATCATCTCCTTGAATGCCAAGTAAATATACCCTGGTAATAAGCATCTCACTGTACATCCATCAAGCCATCTACAATGCTCTCTACACCTGCAGGCTTCTGAGGAGTCCTGGGCAGAGCTCTATTGCAATTGCTCTGAGAACTCTGGGCAAAGCACAGCTCTGGGCAGCAGCTGGCCTCCCAATGGGCCAATCCCAGCTGTTGCTCATGAAAACTGGGCTTCGAAGCCTCTACCTGGGTTGATTTGAGACAGAGATTGGTGGAGGTTTGTATTTTCATAGCAATTAATTATTTCAACACATATTACCTCTCACCAGGCCACCAAAGGCGCTCCTTGTATGGGTACTGTTAATACTGCTAATCTGTTTGACCTTCCTGCAAGGTAAAACTCTCTTCCTTCTTATCCCCATTTGGCAGATTTTAATTAACTTCTCAAGGCCAACCAATTAATCAGTGGAAAGCAGAGATGAAAAGTGGGACACCTGGCTCTCTGTGTGTTTGAAATTTCCAGCCACCTTCCCATTGTTTTCACTACCAAGTCTTAGGTCTGCAGGAGAAAGTCAATGGTCTTTGCCAGCTGAGGGTAAACTAGAAAATCCATGATCATAGCGGGTAGTCACACCGCATGAGTGCTTTCCTTCTGAGATGAAATAAACGATTCCTTGAGCTCCCCTGTCCCGATTTTCCTCTTTAAGGTGGAAAACTTGCATCAAACTGTCAAAACCCCTGTAAGTGTAAAGATTTTCTGTCAAACTGAAAAGCCTTCCTGTTTTAGTAAGATAGTGTTGATGTCATCTTGTGGCCCAAAGTAAATGGATCCACAATACGTTCTGGATGCCAGCTACTCCAGGGAAGACAAGGTTCTTAACACAGCTAAGAGACAAATAAATCAATGCTTAAGAGGCCACGCCTGCAGAGCAGCCAGTTACGGGAACTGCCTGAGCTGAAGTTCTGCAGTAGGAGCACCAAATTACAGTTTTTGTCTCAAAATAGATAGGAGGTTGAATGGCGCACATGGAGCTGTCTGGGTATTTTTGGAGTATGAGAACATTCAGTACCCTCTGCAGAAGTCATCTATTAAAGCACCAGGAGGCAGGGAAACGGGAGGTTACGTGGAGAAGGCAAGTCCAAACCTAATAGCACAATTATCAGGGAGACAGAGTTATCAACAGGCAGGTAAATAGTGAGGGAGACAAAGGGAATATTTTTAAATATTGTGTGGGATTTGATTTGACTCCGAGCAGTGACACCAAAGGAAAGCAGACTTGTATTTTGTTTCTTTCTTTCTTTCTTTTTTCTTTTTAACAAAACTGATAAAACTTAGTGGCTTTGGGTACCTTTGTGGTAAGGATTGACATTAACAAACCATAAAACAGTCATCTGAGTTTCCATTTCTGGGTCTCAGCAGAAACAGCATCATAGAGGCACCAGTACATGCATGCTAATGCATGCACACACGCCCTACGTCTCCCAGCCAACCTGACAACAGCAAGGGTTTGGAACATGATGTGCTACAGTTTTATTTGTCATTTATTTAAGCATTTATCCAGTGTGATCTCTAAGTCCTTCTAAAGAGATTCACCCCACTTAGTTTCGATAGTTGTAGTAATCAACTCATTCAATACTCATCTCCACACGTTATACTGGAGTCATATGAATACCGACTATTGCATGTTTATGAGTAATTTCATCTAAATTGATTTCAAATTAGATATTAACACCACTAGTTACTACCTCTTAATGGCAGGGAACCATTATGGAATGTTGAACTCATGAAGAACAATCAGAAATGCCTATAAGATATAACAAGTTTGTAAAACCTTGGACTGTAGTAGCTGGTGTCCCTCTCCACCATAGCTGCCATCTTTATCACCACTATCCATACCTCTGACATATGATAGATGAGCTTTAATTATAAGCTGCATCTCCCATCAAAAGCTTATTACAAGAAGCAACATCAATGGCCAGAGTATTGTTACTCAGTGTCACCTCTCAACCTCCAACTCCACTCAAAGCTAACACTACAAGACCCTTGTCATAATTTCATGTGTACTTCCATTTTGAGGAACATTTTACTTTAGTTAATTCTTCAGTAATTTTTATTTTAGCAAGCATAGCTAAAGATTTGGGGTGAGATAAAATAGAATCCACCCTCCCACGAAGGAAAGCAATCAGGCTCTCCAAAGATCTGAAAGCCCCTTTGGATGAGGCTCTTTCCCTAGTAGCCCATCTCTGTTCGTCCCACCAAATTCTTCTGCTGCTTCCATTTTGAAAGAATTTATTTGATATTATTGTATTGCTCTTTACAGAGGCTTTGGTCACCTAGACAAATTTTGTTTCAAATAGGTTTTTTAGACCAGGCAATATTTCCTTTCTTGATACATTAGGTAAGGAGGAGGGAAGGAAATTAATGAGTGCATGGATTAAAACAAAGAATAGCAAACAGCTTGCCAAAAACAGAAAAGGAAAAAAAGAAAAAAAAAAAAAAAAAAAACAACTTGCCTCTGAACTCCACATAGAGGAGCTGTGGGTCGTATAGGGATCTTCAAAGCCCCGATTAGTAAAATCTGTCTCCGTCTCCAGGATGCCATCCGCACAAGGACGACTAAGGCTTCGGACCAGGTCAGTCTCTTGATGACAAGAGCCATGGTGTCTGGTGTCTCTGCTCTCACAAGGAGACTGTGGATGGGTAAGGATGGGGTGATCTTCATAAGACAGAATCTCAGAATAACTGAGTTGGCTGGTTCCATCCAAATCTAAATTTGCAACAAAAAAATTTTCAAATGTATTATATTTTCTTACCTTTTGAGCTAGAGAAATTGAACAACTTTGTAGCCACAGTGGTCAAGACCATAGCAACAAAACTTAAAACAATAACATCTGCAAAGACAATGCCACTCACATGATGAATAAACAGTGTCCCTATACTCAAAAAGACTATTATCTCATTATGTAAGATAAAACCAGGCTTAATATTTTATGCATGTGTGTATAGGTGTATGTCTGTTTGTGTATACTGGTGAGCATGCATTATGTGTGGGAATATGCACTGAAGGACAACATCAGGTGTCATTCTTAAGAATACATTCCACCCTTTTTTAAGACAGGGTCTCTCATTGTCTAAGGAATCATCAATTCAGCTACAGTGGCTGACTCATCCCTAAGATTACAAGCACACACCATCACACTATACTTTTTTATGTGGGAACTCACATTCGACACAAGTCCCTGTTCCTAAAAAGCAAGTTGGGTTTTTTGTTTGTTTGTTTGTTTTTGTTTTTTATAAACTCAGACAATCCCAGCCCTAGTTTAATACTTCTTACTTCTTAATAAAAACGAGTCTAAAGAATTGATATTTATGCCAGGTGGTGGTAGAGCACACCTTTAATCCCAGCACTCAGGAAGCAGAGAGGCAGATGTCTGAGTTTGAAGCCAGCCTGGTCTACAGAGTATCAGGACAGCTAGAGCAAAACAGAGAAACCCTATCCTGGGGCGGGGGGTGGATATTTATGTTAAAATAAATGCATTGGAGCGGATAACCTCAAGACTTTAGAGATGGTTCTAGAAAGCAAATACATGGAGAACACATGGCCTCTGCACTCTCTGCTCCTCCTGTGTCTTCTGCATTTACTAGATTACTTCCTGCCCAAAAGGCTTCAGTGGGAACTGGTTATGGCAGTAAAGGTAACCCATAATGCCAGTACTGAGGATGCTGAGGCAGGGGGATCGTAGGCTTGAGGCCAGCCTGGGATACAGGGGGAGAATGTCTTTAAAAAAAAAAATACTTGAACAGAGACAGAGAGAGAGAACATAAAAGAGGGAGCCAATATTGGTTTGAAGATAAAATTGAACACAAAGAAAGGTCTAGAGAACTACAAGACTGCTCCCAACTAACAATCTCAGCTTCCATGGAAAGGCTATCATAAATGCCCTTCCCGGAGAGTGAGATCAACAACTAACTTCTCCATGGAGCCTTCAACTAATGCCTGTTGAAAATAGGAGCAAACACCCATACATAAACACTGAGTCGAACTAGAACCCAGAAGCAGATGGAGAGGACAAGACCATGCGGCAGAAGCACATAGAGACAGCTTACCTGAACAAGGAGGAGCTAACGGCCACTAGACTGATAGCTGGGAAGCCAGCATGGGACTGACTCAGGCCCCCCTGAATATGGGTCTCAGCCAGAAGGTCTGAGCAGTCTAAGAGACCTCAGACAGTGGAGCCAGGATGTATCCCTGGTGCACAAAAGGACTTAGGAACACATCCCCCATGGAGGGATACTGCCTTAATCTAGAGACAGGAGAGAAGCCCTAGCTCCTACTTCACATGAACTGTCAGATCTACATGACCCCAACTGGATGGCATTCCCCTACATATGGAATTGGGGTGGGGGGATGGGAGGGGAGGGTGTTTAGAGTGCATGTGAGAGGGCAGAGAGGGTAAAAGGGAGGGAAGGAGGGAGGGAGAGCTGGGGGAGGGAGGGAGGGAGAGGGAACTGGGATCGACATGTAAAATAATAAATTAAATTAAAAAAAAATGCTTTGACTCCAAAATTTAAGTTCAAGGACAAGTTACTGGGGAAAAGGATTTCTATTTTTGTTTCCACAGAAAATGAAAAGATGTGGATTCCTTCCAGACTAATGTGGTTTGATCACGCCAGACCGCCTGAAACAGAGTACAAGCTAATCCTACATTCAAAACAGCTGGACAAAACAGCCCTACAAATTACAGCTAGGATATCTGAATCTTCTTCTAATCCCCCCAAGACAGTGCCCCTTACCACCAGGAAGTAGTTTGGAAAGAACAACGCCCAAATTCCCAAATATTGTGTATAAATGTTTGTTTTCATTTCATTGGACTTTGTTATATAAAATTAAATAAAATAAAAAAAACTAAAAAAAAATACTTGAAATCTTAATAAAGGCAAAAGCTTCTGTATTTGAACCACAGAAGTTCTAATGTCTGAACAATATTATGAACCTGAAAAATGTTCATATTTTCTGAACACTTTCTTACGTAAAAATATTTTAAGAAGACATCAGCAGGTGATTAGAGATGTAAAACAGTATCTACCAGCAGCAGGCCTTCCCCATAAATATTACATTCTCATCTGCCTGGCCTGAACTTGATTCTTCCAAGCCATTAAACCCCGCTTCACAGCATCCCATCTCACCACCCACTTCTGCTCTCACTGCGTATTTCTCTCCTCTCCTCTCTGTCCTGTCCACTTGGGGGTAGATCAATTTCTGAACAGGCCCAGTCTCTCTGTCTCTCTCTGTCTCTCTCTCCCCCTGTCTCCCCCTCATGTCCCTCTCTCTTCTCTCCCCCTCTCTCCCCCTCTATGTCCATCTCTCTTCTCTCTCTCCCTCTCTGTCTCTCCCTGTCTCTCTCTCCCCTTCTCTCCCTCTATGTCCATCTCTCTTCTCTCTCTTCTCTCTCTCCCTCTCTCCCTCTCTGTCTCTGTCTCTTTCTCTCCCTCCCTCTATGTCCATCTCTCTTTTCTCTCTCCCTCTCTGTCTCTCTCTCTCTCCCTTTTCTCCCCTTCTGAAGCTTTCTTTTTAGCAGAGGGTGATCAGGTAATTGTAGAAGACCACATGCTCTCCACACTACTTGTTTGGTTTCTAGACCCACCTCTAGGTTTTCAACTCCAATGGATTTGTTTTAACCTTTTAACATACCTACCTATTCTTTACATTCATATTATTAAGAACTATTAAACCAAGGCTTGGGGCATCTGAGTTGATTAAACACATTTTTTGTAAGTACAGGGACCTGGGTCCAATATCCAGTACTCATATAAAAACCCTTAGTGTTTTTCTTTCTTATTCTCTTTCCCTTTGCCCCCCCCTTCCCTTCTCCTTATCTTTTCTCTCCACTCGAATATCTCCACAATCCTATTCATTCCATTCATTTCCCTCCAACAAGACAAAACAAACCTGACAGGTTCCACCCAAGCAACAGCTTCAGCTCTGACTTCCCCACCCCCATTAAGATGTCTAATCTTTTTAGCCCCCAGGCCCTCTCAATATTCCCCAAACTAGAATGAAAGAAAATGAGAGGCAGAGACATGAGTGAGTGAGGCAGTTTACCAGTTGGCTTTAATGTTAACTTGATACAAGCTAGAGTTATCAGAGAGGAAGGAGCCTCCACAACATCCAGCTGAAAGGCATTTTCTCAGTTAGTGACCAATGGGGGAGGGCCCAGCCCCAGTGGGTGGTGCCATCCCTGGGCCCCAAGATCCTGGGTTCTATAAGAAAGAAGGCTGAGCAAGCCACATGAATCAAACCAATAACCAGCATCCCTCCAAGGTCTCTGTAAGCTCCTGCCTCCAGATTCCTACCCTGTTTGAGTTCCTGTCCTGACTTCCTTTGGTGATAAGCAGCAATGTGGAAGTATAAGCAGAATGAACACTCTCCCCCCCCCCAACTTGCTCTTTGACCAGGTGTTTTGCTGCAGCAAAGGAACACCAACTAAGACAGGCAGCAAAGAGACATCTCTAGTTCAGCTCTCACGTGCCCTAGCAGTTCCTCAGATGAGTCCAGGGACCTCCACTATAGCGTAAACACACAAAATCTCTATCTGAGGCTGCACTTCCATTAACTGCACATATGTGAAGCAAGTGGGAAGTGATGTGGAGCCTTAAGTGGCAGTAACTAACTGAGGTACATAGGACTGATGCATACACTGATTCAAGCTTAAAACATACAATGTGGGGCTTGGAAATGGCTCGGGGGCTAACATACTTGTCATGCAATCATAACCATTAGAGTCTGAATGCCCAGAACCCACATAAATGTCAGATGGGCATAATGGAACATCTGTAATTCCAGTGACCAGGTGGCAGAGACAAGGGATTCCTGGAACAGGCTGGCTGGCTAGACTAGGCTTATTAGCAAACACTGAGTTTGACTGGAAGATCCTGCCTCAATGATAAAGCAGAGAATGACCAAGAAGTCTCTGAACATCAGCCTGGAGCCTCCACAGACGTGTTCATTCACACATATGCACACACACACACACACACACTTGAAAATATACACACATATACACACTCACATACATTCATTCTCATGTGTATTTTTTTAAAAAAAAAATACTATTCATTTAAACCAGATTTGTACAACCGTGGACTCTGAACTGATCATTTTTAAAAACCACACCAATCATTGAAAAAACATCTCTCTGTTGTGTCATTCTTAAATATTCAATCCAGGCTCCTTGGAAAAACTTTCACAGGATAACACACACACACACACACAGACACACACACACACACACACACACACACACACACACACACACCTTACATTCATATTTTTAGTTGTTTGGCAAAAATACTTTTATATATGCCACAGAAAAAAATGACAGAATGAGGGAAACTCCTCATGCAAAAATCTACAACAATAAAGCAGGATTTTCTTCTAAGTCTCTAATTAGCACAAACATTCCTCACATACATGAACAGTGAGATGTCCTATTAAACAGTGGGCCATCTATCAATGTGTGCAGCACCCAGCAGGACTTCAGCACAAAATCTAACTTTGCCAAGAAATTATCCCCATAAAATTGTCTCATGACTTTAACTCCTATGGTGATAATACCTAGATCAGTAATGTTGGACTTTCAATAGCTACATTAAGCCTTGAAACGTTATTCATAACTGAAAAAAACAGAACTATATTAATGTAACAAAGCATTTTCCATGACAGACAAGCAAGGGATGAATTAGAAAATCAGGTCTGGGCTACAAGTTAAGTAGCAACAAGAAGGGAAGGAAATGGTAGGTCACCTTCTGTACAACAGAAAGGCTCCCTTGACTTTAAATGACAGTGGGTCACATCACCTTAAACACATATGCAAAGATGACAGCCTATTGTCAGAGAAATACATCCTGGCTTCCTAGAAATTATATGCCATGATTATGCCACATCAAATATACCAATGTGATCAGATAAAGTATTCAAGTTATTTAGTTTATGGGCCATTTTAATGGAAAACTCTATTATCCAATTACTGTCTTCCATACTCTATATCTAGCCATATATAAAGATTGCCATATAATATCCACAGTGGTCCACTTATAAGACACCTTAACTTGGTTATGGATGCCCATTTTCAAACATTAATAGAAATTGATGTGACACTATTTTGCAGGTGTGACAGAGGTTGGAGACAGTTAGTTAAAAGGTCATAAGAGAACTAAGGCTTCTTTGAAGAAGAAATTGCATATAAGAATGGAAGTTCCAGCTCATACTTGAGAACTTGCATCTATTTCCTTTATAGCCCTCTCCAGGAAGGGCAGAGCTGGAGATTTCTGTGTCTACCCAGCGTGATCATATCAGCTAATCCTTTGCAATAAATCTCTTGAAATCCACACACATATGTATATTCTGTGTGTGTGTGTGTGTGTGTGTGTGTGTGTGTGTGTGTATTCCTAGTCTTATTTCTCTAGTTGGTAACATTCCAAACAAAACTGGCTACAGGCACAGGTGATATCAGTTGTTTTTAATGAAATGAAGAAAAGGATATCTTTTATAAAACATATCAGTGGGTATACCCTACCTATTGACATTGTGGCATCTGCAGAGTTCACACTCAAAGTCCACAATAGCATTATGAATACTTAAGTCTCATATGTTTTAAATAAGTTAGTTATTTTGCATTTGGAACACATGTAGCCCATGGCCTGCAGTCAGATATGCAGATAAGGAGCAGTTATTCTCAATTAGCTTTAAGGTTACTGCTCAAAACAAACCAAAAAAGCAGTCCCAACAAGTTAACAATTATGTTATAGGCTCATACTCTTTCTGGAAATCAAGCCTTTCATTACAAGAAAAAAAAAGCATGAACTTAAAGGTAAATGAATGGAAGTACAGAAGATACTACTGAGAGAGGTAACCTAGACCCCAGAAAGACAGACACTGCATGTTCTCTTATTGGAGGCTCCAAGCTCCAAATCTTGAGATGTGAGCATATAGTAGTATGCTATAGACTCTACACTATTGTATACTAGTAACTACAGAAACAAGGAAAGAAAATGGGGCCATTGCCAGGATATGGAGTGTGGGGAAGCAATAGAGAAGGGAATAGCAGATCACAAGTGATCTCATCAGGAAAATGGGTAAAGAGGGGCTTAGGGAAAGGAAGGAAGGCAAATATAGAAGATGGTGGGAGAAAGGTAAAGGGAAGTGGCAGGATAAAAGAGATGATCTGATGGGGGAGGGGAAAGGGGACTCTTTATGGAAGAAGGAGGGAGGTAAATAGAGGAGAAGGTTAATGAAACATTGCAAAGAAGGAGCCAGAAAGAATGTAATGGGGAGGAGTGCTGTAAATGTTGTCTCCGAGCCATAACATGGCCATCGCAGTTACCTGCACAAGACCTGAACAAGATGAAGCCAACCAGCATTATAGCATGGATGGGGGAGGGGTTGAGAGGCTTCAGTCATAGTTAAGGAGCTACTACAGATGACAGCTGCTGGCAGAAGGGGAGTCACTGCTCATTGAAGTTGTAGCCACTGTAAGTTGCCCATGCTCCTGCTAAGGGCCTTACCACCATGTCCATGTGCATGGCACTAACTGGACTTAGTTGATTTGAAAAAATAAGAGGATATAAAGCTGGGGGAGTTGCTGGAGCAGAGGAGTTGGAGGTGGATATGATCAAAATATATTGTATACATTTATGAAATTCTCAAAGAATAAATCAATCATTTAATGAAAGAATGCATTGACAACCATGTGAAACAACATTAAATCAGATGAGAAAAGCATGGTTTGGAATACACTGATGATGACTTCATAAGGCATCAACTATGACCTCTCTTAAGGGAAGCACGGGGTAAGCTACCTACAGCTCATTCTAAATAAAGATTTCCCTTGGATTTTGAACATTAATTTTACTGTCCAACACTCTAATACATTTTTAAACAGAAAGAATGGTCAACAATTAAACTGAATCTAAGTAAAATAAAATACCTAAACAGAAATTAGGTGAAATATAAAGAAGATTTTCATCTTTATCTTTAAATAATTCCACTGGTACAATGATGAATGGGAAAAATGGCAGGAAATGTAAGCAATGCAAACATTAATCTTTCCATAGCTTTGGCAACCTCAAATTTAGCATGCAGTTAATTCTATAAAAACCCTTTGGATTTTCCTCAGAATTTACAGTAATTCATTCATTGTTGTAGACTTTGTCCTCTGCCCAATAGAGAGAATTTTACCTTTTCTATCACTGCCTGTCAAAAACTCAGAATTACTAGTTCTGACAAGGATAAGTTACCGTGGATTCCAGGAAGGTAAGGCAGGGTGGCTGGCTCCATTCTCAGCTCCTTGGCCATTTATATAAATCAGACCTGAGACGCCCAGGCTTCTGGGAAATGGGGCCATTAGCTTTAGAATTAAACAAGCTACTCCAAGGGAATCAACTACTATTAACTTTCATTAGGCAGCATTTGCCTGCTTGGTGGAAAGAAAGGAATGTAAAGTGGGACGCTAGGGAACAGGAGAGAGTTGACAGGGGCGGGGGGAAAAGGGTCTGCAGCCATTTATGTTGTGGTTTGTTAAAATAGGTTGGATTGTGTCAATACATCTAACTGCATGAGGAATAGCAAGCTTTTCCTGCTGTTGGCTAGTTGAGCCTTTGCTCCTTTTCTACTTGTCCTGTTTTCATTGCCAAATCAAAATCTCTCTTTTACCATTTCTCAGTTCCCCCATTCTCCTTTTCCTCTGTCTAGATTTAATGACGTGGAAGACATACTGCAATGCCCCCATTGCTATGGCTGCCACACGCCCCAAGAGAGAGAAAGAAGACTGGAGAGCACACAGTCACTGTGAGCAGAGGCGAAACTAGATGGGGCACACTTTCTCTAGCCTTTTATCAATGACACTTCCCAGACTCTTCCCCGATCCAGCATTTATCTCTTTTCAGGACTCTGAACATGAAGATGATGAGAAGCACTGAGAAATGCCACACTGTTCTTTGTGGATTCTTTCCCCGGTTCCATAGTTTATTCTCTTTTCCCTCCATGGACTCTGAGGTACAAGGATAAGTATTTAAATTATTCACCAGTTTTCTTACCATTGACCATCCCTTGCCCAGATAAGGGAGAAACAAGCTGCAATGAATACCTTCACAAGCAGACACTTCAGCACTATCTTCTTGGTGGATGGGCAGCAAATGATTGCATTTTGTTTTTGGCTCCAACTCTGTTGTCTTTCCCTTCTCCGGTGCTCCTGTACGAAAACTCTGGGAACGGGACACAGAGATCTCAAACTGCTTGATCACATCTTCATCACTTTCAGAAGATGTGGATGGCTCTTCATCATCCCCAAAGCTGTTAACTGGGAGTAAACAAGAGTCATGAGTCTCTTGTGTGGTTCTGTGATCCAACACAGAGACAGACAAACCAGGAAAAGGAGAAAAGACATGTGAGTGATTAGCCTGGATGGAACAAGCTCAAACCAGATAGAAAGGATTTAAAGTACTCTTGAAACAGAAATCTGAGCCGAAGGTAATGCACATGGAATAAGTAGAGACAGATGACTGGTACCCAGGAGAAAACAGTAGGACACCAAAATCATTGGCACAATGACCATCCTGAGACAGTGCTGGCCAATGGTGCTGCTGGTGGTGATGGTGCATATAACCATAACAAGAGAATCAGGGTGTTGTAGCCACATTTGCCCAATGTGCAGTTCTTTGGAAAGGGCACACTTTGTCTTGTTGCATTTATTAAAACACACAGAGCCAAGCCCTACTTCCGAGGAGAGATATTTGCAGCTGGGATTTTCCAAAGGCTTCCCTGCTTTGAAGAGAGATCACCATGTGTATGGATTTCTACCCGTTTGAATCACAAATGTTCTAAATGTTTCTCAACTCAACCCAAATTACTGTTTTTAATGTATTTACTGGGGCAGAGGAGATAGCTCAGTGATTAATGTGTTTGCCATGCATGCATGAAGACCTAAGTCTGAATCCCCAACACCAGTGTAAAAAACCAAGTGTGCCAGCACACACTTGTAGTCTCAGTATTGCTGGGGTGGATTCAGGTAGATCCCTGGAGCTTGGTGGTTAATAGCTCTAGCCAATTCCTAATCTCCAGGTTCAGTAAAAGGCCCTGCTTTAAAAAAAAAAAGACAGGATGATAAAGTAATATATCTGATATCAACCTCAGGCCTTCACATGAGCAGACAGGCATGCACATGAGCAACTAAATCATATACATATGAATACATACATGTGCATGTGTATATACATACACATTTGCATACATATTATTGGGTATAATTGAGGTTTATGTGGTACTATGGGGAAAAGAGAAAAATGGTTCTGTAGTGAGAAAAACAATGACCTATTTTCTCAAATCCCTACCTGTTTAATATGTGAGAAGAGAGACTACAATCTACTTATGTGATAAAAGTCTCCAGTACAATACAGCATATTAACTAGCCTCTCAGGCTGTGCTTGAATGCTTTAAACTTTTAGCCTTTGTATCTGCTCTGTTGTATAGCCTTTGAGCCACATCTCCCCATTCCCTCCCTCACCCCCACACACAACTCTGCAAAGCTTATTTTTCTGTTTTTATATATTGGACTCTCCTCTTTTATTTTCTACATAAGTGGGATCACGCAACATATTTCATCTTGCATCTGGCTTATTTCACTTGGTATGACGTTTTCCAGACCATTTTAAGACAAAATGATACACTTTTTAGAAGTGTTTATACATATACATATATGCACAGGTATTCCTTAGCTATTTGTCACTTAGAAACACAGGCTGTTTCCATATCATTACACTATAATGAATAGATATCTTTACATGAGATGGTTTTAACCTCCTGTGAGTATATTCTCAGAAGAGGGACGACTAGGTCATATAGCAGCTCCACTTTGTATTTCTGTAAGACCCTCCATGCTGTCTGCTCCAATAGCTGCTCCAGACAACATTCCTACCAACAGCAAACTAGCACTTCCCCCATTCTTGACCCTTGGGTTTTTGGAGCATAGTCATGTTAATGAGACACAATTGAAATTATTTGTGCATTTTCCCACCAGCACACTTGTAGTACTTCCATCTCGCCAACATACCAAGAATGCTTGTGATTTTGAAGTATTTGCCTTTGATGTTTCTTCTGCCTCCCATGGACTTTCATAATACTGGCTCCTTCCCATTCAGTCCTCAGACTGACTGTCCCTTCATTCTGAAATCATCCTTGATCATCCTACCTTGATTAGCTCTCATTTCCAACCCCTCTTCTCCTCTAGAACATCTATAAAAATAAGCCTTTCACTTCTCTTGTTAACTGATGTCATCTATTATGTAAAACATGCCAGTTACATGGTAAGTACAAATGCTTGTAAAATATCGAGCATTTGGTGACTACCCAGTGTTGTCCCAAGCCTGAGCACCCACATACACCTTCATGTACTGTTCTCTGTTACTGAATGCTCATATCCAGCCTCCCATCTAGACTAATTCAGAAAGTAACTCATCTGTGAGGTTTATGTCAAGATATCACATCTTTCAGAACACCCTTCCTTTACCCATTAAATCATATAAAATTTTTCTTCTTTTTTTTTAACCTTACCAATGCCATTCCTACAATATGGAGGAATTATTGTTTCTTGGGACCCTGTCTTGGAAAAGAAAGAAAGGAAGGAGGGGATGGAAGAGACAAGATGACTGGAAGCAGGGGAGAAGGAAGAAAAGGGGTAAAGAAGTTAAATAACAGCTGCAGATTTGCTACCTAAAAGGGTCCAGACCCATATTTGAGTCAAATCAGGCTGACCTGGAGCCCCGATGCCCAGAGTTGCAGAGTAATGGGTGTAGGGGAGGTCCTTGTAATGCTTGCTCATGTTAGCTGCTACTGTGGATAAGTCCCTTAACCACTCAGGTCCTGTGTCCTTTGTTTTGGGTCATTTTTAATGTCTCCATCATTTCCCCAGTGTTTTTGCAAGCACTCGACTGCTCCAAGTCTATCACTGCTGACTGTTGGGCATCAATATTCAATGTTTCTTGCTAATCTCCATGGAGCATCTGATCCATGAGCAAAAGAACACACTTATTTCACCTCAGTGTTACTGGCTTTTTATAGAACCATGTTAGAACCAGAAAAAACATCTGTCCAAAGAAATTGTATCTCTCAGTAAATACTTCAATAAGCTGTATAGATAGCATCCCACCAGAAAACTCCAACAATGAATAGTCTCTTCATGCCTACATGAATTGGGCCTGGTATTCTGATATGGTATGGACCACTGCATGAAGGAGAGAACCAAAAATCAACAGGGGTACAATTAAATTCCCTCTATCTTAGAGGACAGCACCAGCCAATAACCTAGAAGGTAGCTAAGGGGACATATGGGAGTGGTGGTTGACATAGATACCCATTAGCACTCTTAACAACTCTGCTATTCTATTTGTATACTGAAGCCAGTTTTTAAAATTTAAATAAGCACAAGTCATTCATTTCAGATACATGTGCCAATGTAGGCTATTTCTCTAGCTAGACAATTATTAATGATAATTGAAATATGTGTGTGTGCGCACACACACACACACACACACATATCCCTTGATATTTTCTCCAGTGAGTCATGACTATCTACAGAGCAAGACTTCTCCTTGATTAAATAATCATATAGTAACTATAATAACTACCATATCCTCTACATCTATCTTCTTGGAACTTTGTATAGTCTATTTACTCATCATAGACTATTATTATTCCCATTTAACAGATAAATAATGACAGAAAAGAGTAAATTGTATAAGAAAACAAAGTTAGGAAAGTAACAAAGCTGGAATTTGAACACAGAACCTCAATTCCTAAGCATTTTACATGTAAACAGTTGTCATCATATTGGGAAATAGAGCCATGTCTAGACTACTCTTTGAATGAAGAAAGAGCTTCACCATTTAGCCTTAATTCTGCTCTCTCTTTGCTAGATGAAAGAGAAGAGCAATGAGAAGGGCAGCAGGTCCACATGAGTGTGGCAGGCTGCAAGATAACTGGCCTGTCACGCTGCATCTGATTTAAATATAACTGCACCTACTATTCTAAGCTTCACTTCCCAAGGGTCTCAGAGCATTCTCAGGCTAAAAAGGAAACCTGCAATCACTCCTGAGTGCCACTGAGCAGTGACAGTGACACCATTCAAGTGACAAAAGCAATCCAGTATTCAGCCTCCAGCAGGGTTGTGGTGGTTTGAATAAAAAGGGTACCTATAGCTCTCATAGATTTGAATGCTTGGTTGCCACGGAGCAGTACCATCACAAGGCGTGGCCTTGCTGGAGTAAATGTGGCCTTGTTGAAGGAAGTAGTCACTATGGTAGGTTTTGAGGTTTCAATATCTCAAGTCAGGAGTCTCCTCTCCAGCACCATGTCTGACCACATGCTGCCACGCTTTCCACCATGACAATATGGACTAAACCTCTGCACTGTGAGCCAGCCCCAGTTAGATGTTTTCTTTCATAAGAGTTGTCATGATCATGGTATCTCTTCACAACAGTACAACTGTGGCTAAGACAAGGATTGAGGCACTCCTCTAGCACCTGACAAACGTTCACTTGTTACTCCACACAATGGCCCAGAAAAATAAATCATTATTGTTAACTAACATGCCATTCGGTGAATGGGGACCTAAGGCCCAGTGTCAGTCAGTCACAGTTTCAAGTAGGGATTCAAGATTCAAGCTCAAGCTATCTGACTCCAAAGACTTCCTCGAGGGAAATAAAATCCATCTTCTTAAATCTTGTGTGAACTGTGCATTCTCACTAGAGAAATGAAATCACAGTTTTGAGCTGGAAAGGACTCTTATGAGCATCTATTTCCCATTTAAAAAAGGAAAGTCATTAGCTCATGGTCAGTCCAAGCTAGTACCAATTCTAGTCCTCCAGTATTTGCAATAAACTGTGTGGCCACACAGCTCTCCAGTCTTTCTTCCTAATGGTTCCCCCTCCAAAGAAAATTCAAATTTCAATTATTATCTGCTTGAATGATCCATTTACGTGCCTTGAAATGAAACTATGTCAACAACTAAATAGCTGGTCTGGGTTTCATTTAATTTAATCTCTGAAAAATCAGTCTCCGATAAAATATGACACTTATTTCAAAGAAAAAACAGTATTTGGTGGAGGACCATGTGAATTTCAAGTTCAAATTCTTTTCAAGATAGATGTCTGAAAATAGTACAGAGGTAGGTTTTTTTTTTTTTTTTTTTTTTTTTTTTTTAACTAAAATCTTAACTCCTTTAGTGATTAGCCTGCCAATGTGACGGGGGGGAAAATACTCCATAATTATCCTGGGTGTAGATAAATTACTTTGATATGTGTTCAT